GGGGGGGGCAAATGTAGGAATTTTTAGTGTAGTAATTTTACAAAAGTATTATTGCAAGAGTTTTGATGATAGACTGGTTTGAAATAGCCCAATTTCGAATTACCTATAACCTCTTTTTCAAAGCGAGTCCACGTGCTCATGCTTTCATATGATAATAAGTTTTCATTCACATGTAAATTAAACTCATTTTCACAAGAATGTTTGAGCACCAGGCCTCGTTTTGAAAAAGAGGTCAAAAGGAAATTTGGAAATGGGCTATTGGGAAGAATAGGTCCAAACTGTGCTACTTTTTCAGTGTATACTGACCCCCTGGGTGTGATAAAAACCCATCCATAGTATCATCCTACCATTTTTTGCAAGATATAGTTTTGAATTTAACCATGGTACTAATGCCTTCTTGAAACTGGTAAGATTTTGCATCGCATTATAGAAGTATCCTGCTTGAAATGTATATCAATTTTGTTTATTCTGTGCCTTTAATACCAGGATATCCTGATTGGCATAAGGAAATATCATCAGTACTCAATGCGCTTTTGTTTGTTATGGTTGAAATTACAGAATTTTTGTAGCCTTTAATGCTAGTAGTAATAAAATCAATGATATTTTGCAATAAGGATGAAAAAAAAAACCACAAGGGTAATTGATATGGAATTGTTAGATTGCTGGGACACTTGTGTGTGAGATAATTATGTCATAAACAACTCTTGAGTTCAGCATGGGGTGTTTATTAAAAAATTACCTTTTATCTCATCCTCAGGTGAAGCACCTCTGTGGTCGTCGACATAATTTCAAACTTAAGGAGTGGAGTTTAAAACTCTTTCCAACTTTATATCCAGTCACTCAACAAGAAATAGATTTGTTAGATGACTCTTGTTATGAAGAGACAGAGGAGAATGAAAAGGAAGACAATGGGTGGTAAGATGAGGAAAGTGAATCAATGTTTGAACTGAAGATCAATGGAAATGATACAACCTGAAATGGAATGATGAAGGTCTCGTAGCAGAAGAAGATCTCCATCCACTCCACAGAAAGATCTTCAGGTTTAGCTCCTTGCTATCTCCTCTTTCCTTTTGGCATTAAGAAATGGATAATTTGTACGAAACTTTGATGTTTGATGCTCACGATACCCTAACCCGGGGCAAGTTTGAAAAAGGGAAGTAAGATGCCAACAACTCAAGAGAAATAAACCTTTCCACCATAATATCAGTATGCATATTCTCTATACTTGTCTCAGTACTTTTCCAAGGGGTTAAAGTAACAATGCACTGAACATTATTGAGGGTTGCAGCAAGTCAGCAAAGCAGACCTGCTGTACTGAGAACGGTATATTATAACAGGAAAGCACTGACACAATATTTTAAGATTGGAGCGTTTCTAGTCGCAGACTATCGTATTTGGAGGAGATTCTCCTCTTCATCTTTTCCCAATCAACTTGGCTTTCCAGGATAAACAGACGAGGAAAATCTACATACAATAAAATAGCCAGGCTTGTTTGGGCAAAACTCGACTTTTTTTTTCTCTTCAATTTTTTTTCTTTTCAATGCACTCTTGCATTGTTTTTGTTACGTTTTGCGGTCAGAGACGAAGTCGAGATATAAACAATATGCTTACTGGCTTACTAGTAACCATAAAAAAGACAAAGCTATATTCACCTATTTTGATCGAGAAAAAGCTGTTTGAATGAAGGATATCACGATCCCGTGTTTAAAAAATTGACGGAAACGGTCAGGTTGCCAATCAGAACAAAGCGTCGTCTCATTGCACACACGCGTTAGCGCGCGCGCGCGCACGTAGTCAGGTGTAGGGTGACCTATTCAGTTACACTGTTAGCCAGCAATAGTATGGGACAACGGATCGTGCCATTAAAATGAGCTACAGATCAGTGTGAGGAGTGAGACAAATCGATGCTTCGCACCTCGTTTTCGCAGATCTGTCATCTTAATTATTGACCATGCAGTCAAGAAGAAAGGAAGAGCTATCCTTACCGGCTCAATTTCCTATATTCTTACAAGAAAAACCGTGAGAAGTTTAATGCCCTGAGGACAAATTCGCTTACCTTACTTGTATAAAAATTCGCGCAGTACTAGAATTGGCGCACAATGTAAGTGCGCGAAATTTCATACTGCGCCAAATATAATCCGCGCGGAAAGGTTTTAAATTAAATATTAACTTTATTGACAACTTAAGAATTGAGAATTACACAGTGTACTACGAAATACTATTACATATGGTAATATTACAACAGTTAACATTATCACTGGATACTAAAGAGTTTTTCAGTGAGAATTAGAGGTTGGTTTTTAAAAAGGCAAGTTATCTGTTCTATTTATGCGTACACAGATTACCATCAAAAATTATAAATAAAAAATTACTTCATGATCATCTTCTTCAACCTGAGAAATTTCTGTCGGGATTCTTTCTGGTTCCCTGTAAGAAGTTTTTGTTTCTTTTGGATAATATCTTTTTATTTTGCATTTTCTTCACAAATTACTATTAATGTTAATGTTATCATAGGCCATACCATCTGTGTAAATGGAATACAAATAAATTGTTGTTGTCGCTGTTGTTGATTTCACCTAACTGAACAAACCATGCGATATTCTACTGTAGTCAAACAAACAAAACTAATTGCGTGAAAAAATGTGCCAGCAGGGGGCGGTCAAAAACTTCCTATAGGTTTACGCGAATTCTGTGCTATTCTTTAATTGTGTAATGACAAAAAGGTTAATTGCGTCTCTTAACTCTAGTTAAGAAACCGAAAAAGAAAAATGTCCTGCGCGAATTTAAAGCTGCGCGAAATTAAATCGCGCGAAATTAAATCGCGCAAAATTAATTCGCGCGAAATTAAATCGCGCGAAATTAAAACTGAGCGAAAATGAGTGCCACGCGAATTTTAACACAAGTAAGGTATTTATAATTTGGATATATCAACAAAGTTGAAATGGTAAATTGGCCACCGTAACGATTACAAAAGCTGACGTTTCGAGCGTTAGCCCTTCGTTGGAGCGAATAGAGGAATTGTGGGTTGTGTGTGCTTTTAAAGGCAGGGAATGGAGCTACGTTATTGGTGGGAACATGGCAACGAGAAAAACGACGAAGGGCTAACGCTCGAAACGTCAGCTTTTGTAATCGTTACGGTGGCCAATTTACCATTTCAACTTTGTTGATATATCCAAATTATTTCGTTACTCCCACCGACGCAGCCCCAAACAGTTTCTTTCGAAACTATCAGCCTTTATTCATACA